GGACTCAAATCCAGCACTGCAAACAAAAAAAAAATTTCATCAAAATCAGATGAAAACTGGAAATGCATAAACATCTGATCACACATACACATTTTGAGAATTATAGATATAGATAATGATCTGCTGTCATTGTTTTGTATTTTGTTTTAAAAAAATTCTTGATGACAATAATTGTTCCATTTCAACTGAGAAGCAGAATATTGGGACTTGGGCCTACAAAGCAAGTTTGGTTTTTCTGAAATAGTGTTGAAAATCAAGTCTTAATGCATTGTAATGCTTAAAATAAAGCTTCTTGAATTATTTAAGTAATAACATTCATGAAAATTTCTGAAAAATACAGATTGTAGCTTCTTCATGGACTTTTGTATATCTTGGTAATTTTGGATCAAGTGTCAGTTCAATCAAAACTCTTACAAATCATTTGTGGCACCATCTTATTTTCAAATATTTAATCTAAATTTGATAAATAGCAAAACAATATTTTTGTCATTGTTCAGTATTCCATTTGTTTTTATCAGCTCTTTTTTTTTTTTTTTTTTTTTTCTCTCTCTCTCTCAATCCCATATAAAACTTCAATTGCCAAATTTTACTATTATTTGTATATCTTGAATTGTTTCTTACATGGGCTAAATTCTGGAATATCATTCTATTTTGCTTTCTCAATTCAAAATTTTAACCAAATTTCTTGCAACCTTAAATTCATTTACTTTCTTACATAGGCTTCAATGTATGTCACTTTGCAATATATCTGAAGATTTTTATATAGTATTCCTTTGACTGTCTTAACTGACATTTCATCAGTAATGCAGTTGTGTAGCATTAAGTGATAACTAGTTGACTTTGGTTTACCAACTGATGACTTCAATTTTTCCTCTTGGTTCTAGTTTTTTAAGTTTTTTATCTATCCAGAACACTTCTGCCATCAGTAAACTTACTGGCGTTGCCTTGTTATAAACTCTTGAGTTTATGTAAACCAGTATTGCTTTTGAAAGAAAGTTTTAAAAAGATGCATTGAAGCTTGAAGTTAATACAAACAACTGTATTTTTCTTCAACAGATTTCGAGAACTGCTTCCAAGTATTGCGTCGTGGTTAAACTGCTAACATCTATCAAATATTAATTTTTAATTTAAAATACTCTTTCTTCCAGATTGAGTAATGTGACCTTAGTCAGGGACACAATTCTTTCCAGGTTAATTGGAATTTACATATAGAAGGGATATCTATAAGTAATTCTTTTCTTTTTCTGTCTTCTCTTTATTTGTCCACAATAGCAATATATTTGTGCATTTCAGAACCAATGCTGACTAAAGTATTTAGTTATCAATATTGGCCTTACCCATTTCCAAATGATGAAATATCAGAATTTATTTTGAAATCCCTTCTTGGTCAAACCCAAGTACTTTTCAGCATATCTTGTAAAGTGATAATTTGACTTTATAAATAAGCCTGTGTTCTTGTCTCTCCATTAGAGTTTTGTTTAACTTATCTGGTGTTGTTGCTTTTTCTTTCTTTATGCCTATGATAGGTACGATCTACATTTTAGGGATTACATTCATCTCCACAAGGGCCTCCTGATAATTCTGTTGCATATAAGTTTACAATTTGTTTTGGGAATCAGGATTTTTGTACTTCCAAATAAAAAAAATTGCTTATTGTAATCTTAGTTCAAATTTTGTAAGTAGATTTTAATTCCAATTAGCTTTTGTGTATTTCTTCTTTATTTATCTAACTGTTAAATGAATTTTCTTCTTTTTAAGTTCATTGTGTGCTTAATTTTCACTATTAAAAGCAAGCTGTTGGATCTTTCGAGAACATAGATAAACATTGGTTTAAAATTTCAAAATAAGATTTAAATGTTTGTGGACTATTTTTAAAAAAAAAAAAAAATAGAAGGATATAAGCAACCCTGAAAGAAGACTGGCACAAATAATGGACACCATATTTATTTCAAATTGAAATGAATGTTGACACCATCATTTGTACAAAAATTTGTATAGCATTCTCTTCATGGTAACTTGGTATGTCAATGCTTGTGACGATTTATACCCTATTCCTATTTTACTTTTCATTTATATTAAATCATGATAACAATATCTATCTCTCCATCTATCTCTCCCATCTATCTCTCTCTCCATCCATCTATCCATCCATCTCCCCCCATCTCTCTCTATCTATCTCTCTCCATCTATCTATCTCTCTATCTCTCCATCCATCTCCCCATCTATCTATCATCTCTCCATCTCCCCATCATCTCCATCTCCCCATCCATCCATCCCCATCCATCTCCCCATCCATCCATCCATCTCCATCCATCCATCCATCCATCCATCCATCCCCATCTATCCCTCCATCCCCATCCATCCCCCATCATCTCATCTCCATCCCCTCCATCTATCCATCCATCCCATCCATCCATCCCATCTATCTCCATCCCCATCTCTATCCCTATCCATCTATCCCCCATCTATCTCTATCTATCCCTCATCTATCATATCTCTATCTCTATCTCTATCTCATCACATCATATATCATCCATTCATCTATCATCTATCTATCTCTATCCCACATCTCTATATCATATCTCTATCTATCTCTATATCCTATATCTATATCTCTATATCTCTATATCTCTATATATCTCTATATCTCTATATCTCTATATCTCTCTATCTATATCTCTATATCTCTCTATCTCTATATCTCTATATCTCTCTATATCTCTATATCTATATCTCTATATCTCTATATCTCTATATCTCTATATCTCTATATATCTATATCTCTATATCTCTATATCTCTATCTATATCTCTATATCTCTATATCTCTATATCTCTATCTCTCTATATCTCTATATCTCTATATCTCTATATCTCTATATCTCTATATCTCTATATCTCTATATCTCTATATCTCTATCCCCCTTTTTTTTTTAGTAAAATCATTACCACATTTTGCAGTATGAGACATGTTAATATTCTCTGCTAATTGTATTGGCCATTAGCTTATCTGTCTATTTTACTCTGTAATGGGGTGATAGTTTGTCTTCTTGCCAATTCAGTACTATCCTTTCATACTTAGGGATAATTTAACTAGTGAGCCTCGTTGATACAGTATTAAATACTTCTGTGCTCTTTTATTAACTGAAATTATTGAATGCTTTTATTTTACTTTCGTGTGTTAAGTATAACAATTCTCTTCTGGTGGATCGTTTCATCTATGTCATCTGAACTTGACAGTTTTGGGAATTAATGCTTAAGTATTTTTTGAGGTTGACTTGTACGCTGGGTTATATGGTCTATGTATTTTTATAGAAAGAAATTTTCAAACAATGGCTAATGCCTTTACTCTTACCAAGATAAATGTTATGCACTCATTTTTAAAAAATTTTAAAATTTTTCTTTCATAGCTTTTTTGTATTTGTTTATAATTTATGGGTTCTTTCTAAATGAATTTTAAAATATTCTTGATTATTGCTCCAATCAAAACTTCATTCATCTTTAGTTTCTTGTCTCGGTTACTTGGCCATTTCTAAAATTTTATAATACAACTTTATGAATGTGGTCTTTTTTGAATATTGTAAAAAAAAAAAAAAAAAATAAAATTGTTTAAACAGATGGATGTATCTAGCACTTAAATAAAATGCTGTAAATAGGTTTAGGCTAAGTTTATTCTAAACTCTGTAGGCTCCCTGTTGTGGTTTGTTTGAAGTGGGTAGTGATGACATTAACAAACATCATTGCACCCACAACCTTCTTTAGTGACTGTAACTTTGGTTCAGCTGCTAATCTTGTCCAGTATTCTACCAATGACAATAGGCAGCTACATGTCAATTGAGTGTAAATACTACACTAAGCTGCTTTTTTTCTCTTTGTTATTTTTTTGTTTTTTTTTTCTTTAAATTCTTTTTCATCTGTTTGCATACCAATGTAGCTGAAAGATTTTTATTTTTGTTTTACATGCATTTTAACAGATTATTTGATACTTTTTAAATCAGTATATATAAGCTTATGACTCAAACTTAAAAATACTTTTGAATGTTTTGGTATAGAAATATAAATTCTAAATGAATTTGTTACCTGTAACTTGCTCTTGACTATTTGTTGTGTTGGTAAAATACTTGATTGATAATGTTATTAAAAAAACAATACTAGGGTATTTGCATTTACTTCCATGAATAATATCCACAATTGTTTTGTGAATGATTGTTCGATTACAACGATTTCTTACCTTATTTATAAGACAATTTTTTTTTTTTTTTTTTTTTTTTTTTAATTTGATTTGATTATGACTTCTATAATTAATGCTCTCAAATTAGAAAAACATTTTCTCATACATAACCAATATGGGTATTTATGTGCGCAAAATCTTCTTGTGCAGTGTACTTTTTAAGAACTATTCATTTTGAAATTCATAACTTTTGATTTTTGTGCTAAAACTTTTCTGTCCTTGGTTACCTCCCCACCTTTCCAGTTAATTGTCAAATTAGTTTCTATTCAGAGTAAAGTTAGGGTACAATTCCTAGAATCAATCCCCAAATTAATGATAGGATTCTATTGTCCTAAACCTTTTATCTCTCTCTCTCTCTATCTTATATAACAATAATTGTCAGTGGTTCTGAAGAGAAATGTCATTGTTACAGGTTTAGGTTTGAGGTTTGGTTCACAAGTGGAAGCTAGTCAACTTATCTAAATATTTTAGTTCTTATAATGTAAAATGATTAAATGAACACTTTTTGGTTGTAACATGTTATTGTAAATGCACCTTCTAGATGTGGTGACTTGTTGGATGAGGTGAGTTGGATTTGCTTAAAATGTGTGACTTTGCTTTGGCATGCCTTCCTGACAAGTGCAAAACAGATTTTTCTTTTTTGATACATTGGCATTGGAGTATTGATTTGTATGTAACCTTTGATGGCAAGAATATAAATGCTGTATTTGACAATAAGTAAAAAAAAAAAAAAAAAATTACTTTCGTTTTTTTTTTTTTTTTTTTTATAGATCGACACCAGGGTAGATCCCTGTGGGGTCCATTTCGAAATGCAGCTACAGCAGTTACTGATATGTATAAAGGTATGTTGATTGTTTCATTCAAACTCATAGTTTTGGTATTTGGGGGTTAAAACCCTCTCTTTATACTATGTTTTGTCAATTGGAGGTGGCAATGGTTTTTTTTTTTTTTTTTTGTTTGTTTTCCCCTTCTACCTATTTTACTCAGAATTTTGAGGGTTGTGAATTTAAAATACTGACCTTTTTTTTTTTTTTTTTTCTTTAGTGTCTAGATCTAAGCATAGAGTATTTTAAAAATTGGAATAGGCTGTTGATCCTCTGTAAGGATAAACTGGGGAAAAACAACTTGGCTATATTATAACGATAAGAAAATATTGTCCTTTTCAGATTGACAAAATAATGTGCTTGCTGGACAAGATTAAATAACTTCAGAATGGAAGTTCCAGTTAAATTCAGAATGTATTAAATTCAAGAAAAACAATGGAATAATCTTTGATTAGTTAAGTTTAACTGACAAGCTGCAATGTTTTTCATTTATCCAGAAAAATGTCAAATATTTTCATTATTTCTACTATTATGGTCAAACATTAAAGTTTAAGAGCTGTCAGGGTTTCAGCTGCTGACCATTGTTCATCTGGATTTTATATATTTATCTGTTCAGTCTGTTTATTGATCAAGATATTCCACTCAAAGGTTTTTTTTTTTTCCTCTCTCTCTCTGAATGTTAAATGAAGAACTGGAATGTAGTTTTTAACATTCCTCATCTATCTAAATTTTACTTGCAAGCAAAGCACTGGGTATCTGGACACTGTTTATTTTACTTTAAGACTGGTGATTTTGACAGTTTGGAAGTACTATAATTGACACAGTGGTCCATATAAACTTCATACTGGGATATTTGCAACTGAAAATTACTGACATAACTTTTATTTAAACCTGTACAAAATCAATTGATTGTTATGCAGTTACTATTAATTTGTATAACCCTCCATGCTCATCTTTGTATAATTGATATTTCTTCTAAATTTGTTTCATTAAGCATTTTTTTTTATTTTTCTTTGCTAAATTTTTCAGATAGTATAGATACATTAAGAGTATGTATTGATGTGGGAGTGCAATGTGGTAAGCAACATAGAACCAAGGACATTATTGCTTGGGCCAAAAAGAAACGGCGCCACATACGCAGAGAAGAGCTTCTGGCTTTTCTGTGTGGAAAGAACCCACCTTTGCGTAACCGAAGCACATCAACAGGAAAAACGGGAGCTTGGATGACAAAAGACTGGCCCTCCCAACGATTAGCACACTGCGGTGGCAGGGATTTGGAAGAAGATAACGACACAGAGTTACAGGCATTCAGTGATGCATTGGCGTTGCAAGGTCAGTATTTTTGGAAGATCACTTCATCTATTGTGGGGGATAATTATTGATGGTCGGTTAAAATATCACACACATAGTTGTGTGTGTGTCTTGTTTTCTTTCTTTTTTTCTTTTTTTTTTCTTTTTTTTTTTGCAAAATTACAGTAGTTTAATATGATCAAAACCAAGAAAAAAAGCTTATGTTGCTATAATCTTTGCCTTCAGCCAGCTCATCTTTGATTCTACAAGGAGTTTTGGTGGTCTCTCGCTCAACTGAACCCCACACATAATAATCAAGGGTGTTGCAGTATGAGGTGATTTGGTCACGGATATTGTCCAACGGCCATGACTGGGTTCTCCTGCTTGAGTGGCATGGTACAGTGTCCTGTTGTCACACAGGGTCTTCTACCAGCCATCCTATTGACCTAGGACAGCATGACCTCCTTAGGACACTTGATGTAGGCCTCTGTTGAAAGATGAATGGAGGTATAATGTCACCATCACTAGTGATCATTTCAAACACCTTCGTAATCACTATTAGACTTATCCAACTCTTTCTGAATCTTTTGCACTGTCCTCAGATTGACACCCAAACACTCTGAAATGTTTGTATTGGAGCTTCCCGGGCAAATGCCAAGCCATACAGCATGCCATTTTCAAATTTCTGGTGCAGTGAATTGCATCATGGTGCTCTTTTTCTCACAGATGGTGCCCAACTGACCCTACTATACTGTGCAGTCAACAAAAATGTGCAAAATTAAAAATTTACTTTTAAGATTTTACTGTCAAAAGTTATTTTTTATTATTGGGTTGAGGACAATAAAAGAACAGGGTTAAAGGAGACAGATGACAATTGGTGTTGCATTTAAATTTTTGAAGATTGAAAGCAAGTAGCCAGAAGAGTTCCACAAGTAAGAAGTGCAAGTGAAGAAACTGTTAGCATAGAACTTATGATTATGTCTAGCAGTTTCAATAGTGAAATGAAAGCTAACTACCAATCTAGTCCTGCACATAAATTCTTGGTGTCAAGGTATCAAAGAGGAAAGTTCATCAGAACAATTACCATGAAAATATTTATATAAAAGACTGGGAAAATGGCTGAAGCCAAAATTCCATGTCAGCATCAATAATATTGCATATTCTTTTTAAAATTTCATCAAAAATGTCTAGATAGAAACATCAGACCAGTAGTGGCAGTAATATTCACTATTGATAATAGAAGACTGGTAATAAATAAATAAATAAATAAATAAAAAAAAAAAAGCAACATTTTGAGATCTTTTAAGGAAAGGCTTAAATTTATTTTATTTATTTATTTTTTCCTCTCTCCTCTCCAATAAATAACAGATGAATATTGTGAATGCTTAAAACAGTGTTTCTCAACCTTTGTACCCTTGTAGAACCCTTGAAGTAGTTTCCCTATCTCAAGGAATCCCTGCATAAATTAATATCTATCAATTTGTTCATATGGTAAACATAGTATACAATGATACACAAATCTGTTACATACAGGTCCTGTCCACTAAGCAGTGAAGACAGTTTCACACTGATTCCATATAGACATATCACTAAAGACATCCCCTATGATTATTATAATTTTAGATATAAGAGGTTTGAACCTTTATTATAATAACTAAGGATTTCCTATCAATATGCTGTATGTGTATAGTAAAATTACAAACTTAAGCAAAAATAAATCAAAAAATGCATTAACCTATTTATCATTGTGACTGCTTGCCGAACATTAGGGCTCCAGGGAACATCAGTTGAGAAATACTGGCTTGGAGAATTAAATAAGCAACTAAGCAGCTCATTGTTTCAGGTTAACTAAATCAAATGTTTTTTTTTCTCCATTTGCAGGTTTGAATGGTGCTATGTCAAATATTAGTGTAGGTTATCTACCTCATGGTGGTGGTACATTGAACAGCAGGAACATGGAGGATCTTAACAGGTTCATACTTGATGAAATATCCAGACATTCTGATTCGCGCAAGAGAAGTCCTCCAACAGATGGCATGGACTCTCCTTCTCGAAAAAAAAGTCGCATAATTTAGATCAAAATACAAAAAAAATAATAAAAAAAACAAAAAAACAAAAAAAAACAAACAAAAACTTTAAAAACAAAAAAAAATATATTCAATCTAAAAAAAGACTAAATAAACAACTGCCTGCCATTGGTAGATGCTCTTCTATATGAAATACATACATGTGCATACATATGTATGTAGACATATACATATGTATATACATCTATAAAGTGGAATGTGTAGATATATATGTATCTCTTTAACTATATACACATAAGCACAAAATGTTTGTGCATGCACATATATACATATAGGTATATATGGATACACATACCAATAACACACACACACACACTTTCACGATGTACAATTAGCTTCTTAATGGAGCTGCCTTTTGTGTAACCAGTGTTGAGCCAATGCTGTTTGCTTCAGCCGATTCTAAACAAACCCTTTCACACTGAAGGAGCACAAATCTGTGAATAACACAGAGGAAAGGCAAAATGTTAAATAGCAGGGATACGCACACACGCACTCACACACTCTTGTCATTGGAAGATCCACACCCCTCCAAAGCAGCAACCAACCGCAGAAGACAAAGAAGACTGGAAGGAGAAATTACTTAACCCCTAACTTCTTTTTTTTTTATAGCCTTGTTGACAACTGATGACGATCACTTGTGATCTTTTCAGAAAATGAACAGGCTTAATTACATTAAATAAAAATTCATTAATAATACGGAAATTTTTATTAAAAATTAGAATATCCTCTCCCCTACCCTCTCTCTCTCTTTCTCTCATGTTGTTATTATTACATACAGCAATCTGTTTCTTTTTACTGCTTTCTCCCTGCTTCTAACTTTAAAGGAAAAAAATATCAGGATGAGAATGTAATTTGTCCAGAAATGAACAGAAACCTTTTATGACTGTTCTGTTTGTGTGTGTTTGTTTTGTTTTTAGTAATTTTTGCAATTGAATGATTTCTTTCCCAGATTCCTTAACTTCAAATTTCCAATCTATCTTCCCCTGCTACCTTGAGCTTCATGTAGGAAAAAAAAACACACACACACACACACACACACATGTATGTATGCGTGTGTGTGTGTGTGTGTATGTATATATATATATATATATATTTCTTAATTCTCCTGTCACACTCTGTCTCTAATATCCATATTCAGTATTTTGGCCAGTTTAATATGTCTATGCCAAATAAACACCTTAAAATATTTTGGGGGGGCTAAAGTGGGTTGGGCTAATAAGGCACATGGCTTGCAGTTTAAGTGGAGAAGGCTAATTGAATGACTTGTTTGTAAATATATTCCAACATTTTAAAAACTTCTTTTATTCTGCACTAAATTGTGCTGCTACAGATACACCTACATGTTGAAGTATGCAAGATCTTTTCTTATATTGGCTTGGTGGGGGGGGGGGGAAACTTAGTAAAAAGTCACTTGAGAAAGTTGAAGCTGATTTCTCTTGAAATATCTTCTGTTCTGGAATCTTTACTCTCCCACTTCTCTCATTAAATCCTTCTGCATTTCTCTCTTGTTAAATCTACCTGTGTTTCTGCTTGGCAAAACAATGCTCTCTCTCTCTCTCTCTCTCTCTCTCTCCCCCCCAATTTTTTTAGTGCAGCCTTCCACTTGTTGGGTAATACTATCTTTGAATTTGGGTTGTTGCTATTGAATGGTGGGTTTTTGGTCACTTGGACAAGTAAAGTTATACTTCACAAGCAGAGGTGACTGATACTAAATTGATTGTAGTATACAATGTTTTTGCTACCTAATCCCTGCAATGCCGTGTCTTCCCAACATGCTTTGTGCTTTTTTTTTCCCCCTGTTAATAATATTCTTCAGATGATGGGTATGTGATACTGCTGTTTTTTTTTTTTTTTTTTTGCATTTCAAAAGGAAAGAGGGTTTTTTTTTTTTTTTTTAATAATCACCATATAAACTTTCCTTGTTTAGAAACCATTAATTTATGATAGCCATTGTGTCAAATGCTGGTAAATTTTATGTGAAGTGTGTTATTTTAGCAAGCTAAAACTTTTTTTTTTTTTTTTTAATTAAACAAAACTTCTGCTGGTGAATGTCTTAGCTCTAAGAGTTGAACTTTTGTCATTGGCTGGAAACTTGTTTTATGACTTACTCCAGATTGGAGACTATTGTGATTTTTTTTTTTTTTTTATTACTACTTTTGGCAAGATGAAGTCACTGTCAGGATAGATAACATAATCAGTTAATACTGAGAAAACAAGCATGCATGTGTAATGTATTACTCTAAGGGTAATTCTTCTTACAAACATACATTGTTTTCTCTAATTGCTGATATTTAAATATCTCCTTGGCTTGTCTTTCAATCTTATTGGAAATCCATGACTTTTCATATTTTACTATTGTAATATCAATAGCTGCACATTCCACGTAAGCGATCCTTCTCTTTTTGAAGCTTAGTGATATCTAGAAGTTTAATTTTCTATTTTCCTGTGCTTAGAATAGGAATAAATTTAAGTTCGTAATTTTTTTTTTTTTTTTTTTTTTTTTGTAAACCTCTAAGATTCAACCTTTGCATGCATAGTGAATATCTTTGTTTTACCTTTATTCCTTTTAATACTGCAATCACCTTTTTTTTTTCTTTTTTTTTTTGCGCACCAATATTATTTGCAGGATGTTACTGCTAGGGAAATGTATATTGAAATTAAAACCAATTCTCCCTTTTGGGGTAAATTGGAAATCAAGGTGATACTGTGCAGCCTTAAGCTTTTTCTGAGGAGTATTAGACAATAACGCTGATATGTTACAATGTTGACTGGATTGATCCTATATATTTTTTTCTGTTAATGAAATATCAGTGGGGATATATGAAATTGAAATGTCAGGATAAGATTCCCAGGGTTGGAAGTGGTGTCAGCAAGAGAAGAGAAAGTACCAATAATTTGTCAGTGATGTGGATCATTGCATTCCATGGCAAATTGAAGATAAAATAGATTTTATAATTAATATTTGATTATTTTTATTTATTTTTATGTTTTTTTTTTTTTTTTTTTTTTTAAGCGAAATGGTTCTTCCTCACTTACAAGCTATTGTAAATGGGCATTTTGACCTGTATCTACCAAATATATAAATTAATATTGTCTTTTCAGAAATTATTTAATATCTTTTACCATTTTAAAATTTTTTGTTTGCTTTCTTGTTCAAAAAAAAAAAAAAAAAAAAAGAGAGAGGAAGAAGAGACAAAACAGTATGTAAGTATGTATGGATGGAAGAGAAGTGTGTTTTGTATTTAGCTTAAAAATGTTTAACATTTGTGTTATTTTATAGAGCTCCTCTCCCTCTCTTGTAATCTCTGCCCTTCTCATCTTCCTCTGTTCTGTTGCTTACCACCCCACCATCTTTTGAAGGAGATGGACTTTTTGATTTGGAATCATTGACACTTGTTCCTCTGCATCTGTATTGTTGAGCTTCCTTCTATTGCTGAATTGATTCATCCATCCACATTAAAAGCAGAAGGTCCCATAAAATTTTTGAAAATTTGGGAATGAATAGTAAATTTAAAAATTTTCTCTGACCCTACCCTCTCAACTTGCAAAGCCCCCCCCACACACACACACACACTTTCCTTTATCTCCATCCGCCATCAAAAAATACTTGAAAATGATGACTTCTCTAAGCTGGAATAGCCTGCATAATGGATTCTTTCAAAGTGTCTCCAAAATCTCTTCCCTTTTCAGTACCTTTTTGTTAAATATTATCTCTATCGATCTGGCCACACTTGACCTGTTGATTTCTTTATTCGTTAGATTCAGATGGAAGGATAAAAGTCTGCAGCTATCAGTATGGTTGGTACTATTGTCCATGTTGGATACTATATGCCTCGTAGCTCTTGCTACTGATTATGAAAAACAAAATCTCTCTCTCTCCCCTATCCCCCCCCCAAACAAATAGTTCACCGCTATGTGTTTTTGTTTTTCACTTTAAAGCTCCCCAACTCTCTTTGGGGTAAACTGTGGAATCAAAGGAAGTGGAGGGCAGGAGGGCAAAATACATTTCTGCTGTGTTCCAGTTTTTCCACTATTCTATTTTGCATTCCTATTTATTTTTTCTTCCAAATCCTGTGATTCGTTTCTTTATGAAAAGACAAAAGGAAAAATAAACAAAAAAAAAAAAAAACAATTTTATAGTAAAATCTCACATTTGGACTTGGTATATTTACTTACACACAAACACACACATATACACATGCATGAGTAAATGACTTAAATATATATATATGGATGAGTATGCATGTGCTTGTGTGTTTTTTATATATATATATAATATATATATATACACACACACACACATCATATGTACACTTGTACAAAAACATGCATATATGACGTTGAGAAGTTTGTAAAATACTAAATGAATAAAAAAAATTTTAAAATATAAGCAAAAATATTAAACAAAGAAGTCTTTAAAAGAAACAAAAGTTGTATTTGTTTGTTTTATTTTTCTTTACTTTTCCAGGAAAAAGGATATGGAGGAAATTTTAATCTATTTAAAATCTAAGATTTTCCTTGCAACTGAACATGCATGAAGCTGATATAATTATTAACTCAGTTTTATATTACGTACAACTCTCTCACCATCCAAATTAAGAATTTTTTTTTTTTTTGTTCTTTCACAATGATGTTCACCCTGTACAAGGCCGGGAAGCCACTCAAGGTAGAGGGTTACATAGTAAGAGGCATAATTTATACAAATATGTAGAAGATAACTGTTAATCTTAGACTTAAAGAGGTTAAGATTGTAGTAATTAAGGGAAAACATCCTCTTGGGAATTGGTTCTACAGAGCAGTGGTTTGTACGAAGAAACTGCTTGAGTGGAACTACATTTCACCAATAGAATATAGAAGGTGGAATGCTACAATGTGTGTAGCATGGGTCTTAGCTGTGAAGGTTAGAACCGGTCAAACTAAGGAATGTAGTTTGAGCAATTTCCATGGAAATAGCAGTGAGAGACTTGCAATGGTTTGTCTGTGAGAAAGGGGTTGTGGAGGTGACTGTCATGGATAAGGACATGGAGACACTTTTGGACTTTACAAAGACTGGGCAGTTTTTTTTTTTTTTTTTTTTTTTTTTTGGCTTGATCTGGCTCTTAAATAAATAAAAAAAGAGAGATAGGATAGCAGCAGGAGGGGTCTGGTACTTACTGGAGTGGTATAGGGGACCAACCATTTTTCCGTCCTCTTTAGTGATTGATCATATGTACAAGTTCCACCTGAGGCCTGGATCGAGTTTACAGCCTAACAGTCTTGTTGAATGGAATACTCATCCCTTTAAAAGATTTTGTTTAAACCAACTCCAAGCTGTTAAATTTGAGAAGCTTTTAGTGAGCAAATACTTTTAGGATTTCTAAATCCTTCCACTCTTCTGGAATTAGGTTTGATTTTTTTTCCTACAATAAATTGGCTTTGTTTACAGCCTCTGAAATTCTCAATTTTCATGTATTTTCTATTGCTTCACTTTAAATATATCTGATTGTATTAATATTTTTACCAGTTTGAGACAGGTTAATTATAATCATGATGAATCAATTCCATGTGGGTTTTACACATGAGCCAAATCCACTTTGATAACCCTGTGATTAGCATCGTTTAGTTTTCTTTGAAAGTTAAATTCAACTTTTTGCATTACACAATTTTTTTCTAATCTTGATACCAACATTAATAATTCTAACCATATTCAGTGTCATTGTCTTTGTTGCAGCCAGAATTGAAGGAAAATGAATTGAGCATTCTAATGCAATCTTTCTGTGTTTATGATTTTCGTTCTTTTAAAAACAATTTTTTTTTTTTTTTTTTTCTTCAGGGTCATTTAAAAAGTTTTTTCTTGTTTTCTTGCTGTTTATTTATGGAAATGACTCCATTAATTTGTTAGAAAGGTTACCTAATTATATAATTCTTTTTTTCAATAAGGTGTTCAGAAATTAAATTTCTCCTCCATGAGGAATCTGCCCATTTTCCAAACATGAATGCAAATGTCACAGATGAAACACTGTTTTTAATATAGCTATTTGAGTGTTCAGGGGTCTTGGTGGCCTCATTGTCCATATCAAATGATGCATGATGGGAGTTAATATTTCCTTGGCTTCAGTTCCCAATTTCCATTCCAGGTTGCTTGTATAATGTAAAAATAAATGTAATAAAAAGCAAAAATAATAAATGCAGCTGTTGCTGCATCAGTATACTCTCTTCTTTTTTTTTCTTTTTTTTTAATCTATTTTTGCAGCTTGATTTTGCTAGTTTTTTTTATAAAATACCAGATTTACCCATGTTTATGTTAAAATTATGAGAGTAAGTTAAAAAATTACCTGCATTTTCACCATAAATTTAAGTTTGTTACACTGCCTTCTGATGCAGGCTTATAGTTTGGTACTATTGTGACCAAAGTTTGAGCTTGATCATGCCAGTTTTCTTGCTGCTGTTACAGTGTAAACATGACCCTCTCTGCTAGCAGTGTGCATCAAGGAGGAACAAACAGTCGTACACTGGTACAGTAACAGCTGCATTTATTGTTTTTATTACAACAAACATTTATTTGTACATTAAGCATTTGATAATTGCATTCATGTTGGAAAAATGAGTTTTTTTTTGTGTTCGGAAATTATGTAAGTAGGTACCCCTTGCAACAAATTAATGGAATCACTTCCATAACTAGGCCGCAAGAAAGTGGGAATTAACTCTTTTAAATGATGCTGAAAAAATTGCAGATAGTTGGAATTTGCCCAATAATTGAACAAATAAAAATTTCTTGTTACATGTGAATAAGTTATGAACACTTTGTGACATAAGAGAAACTTCTATAGCAGTGTTCCCAAACAGTATACCTCCAACAACACCACCAATGTTTGGGGGTTTTTGTTTATTTTATTTTTTTTAATTATTGATATTCAAGTTATACGAGCACTCTCAATAGTTGCTTCTGGTAGAGAGTGAATAAGTTGTGTGATATGAAATGTAAAAGGAGGAAGTGAAAATTGAAGTGTTCAAGGAAGTAACCACATAGGAGTCGGTTTCACAGGGTAGAAGTTCTTTGGGTCAAAAAAGCTGGTGTGCCCTGGGATTAAGTGTGATGTGAAAGAAAAATTTGTATTTCAAAAGATGAAAAATATAGACTAAAATTTGTAAGGGAGATTATATATGGCAGTTGGCATTGACTGGAGAAGAGACTAGGTTCTGCTTAAGGTGTTAGTTTTTTTGTTTTTTTTTTTCTTTTTAGAGCACGTAAAACTTTCGGAACCACTAATCTGGTATCTTTCTTTTTTCTTTTTTTCTTTCTAATATATGAAAGAAAAGACCGGCAACTGCTTTTATGGAAGTTGTATGCAAAAGAACTTTATTATTATCATTATTTTATTTTAAATTTTTTTTTTTTTTTTTTTTTTATAAATAGCTTTGCAAGATACATAAAATACATGTTCTATGACATAATCAACCCTTTGTGGGTTATTTAAAGCTGAAAAATATTTTTACATATCGAATTTTTTGGCTGATAATTGTTTAGTGATACAAGTCTTAGTAATTGATCCATAGCTGGGTGGAGAAGTGGTTGATTCATATATAATGAACCCACTGGAATTGAAACCCTGCTCTCTGATTAACAATTCCAAGCCACTATCCTTACAGCACATGGTATTCTCAAGCGGTCACCCATCTAGGTACTGACCAGGCTTGGCATTGCTTAACTTCAGTGATCATGCAGGAATACTGTAATAAATGCCATAACTATATGTTCACAGTAATAGAGCTATAATAAATTTTCTACCTTCCCCACCTCTAAATTTTGTATTTTTGGTTGATGACTTAATTTCAATAAAATATTTTCAGTTTTTATCGATGTTGCCTAAAACATGAGATTCCAATATAATCTAACACCATGAAAAAGAAAAAATATCTCCATAACATCAGACTTAAATATACAATCAGTGGGTCAGTTAAGTGATACACACTTGGGCAATCATATATCTTTTGATACATGACTGACAAGGTAGATTTTTTTTTTCTCTCCACAGTAGGTTGCTATTTCTTTCTGTGGTAAACTGGTTACCAACCAAGGCTAAAGAACCCATAGCTGGGAGGGGGAGGCGGAAGAAGAAGAGATGAATTCATACCTTTCCCAAGGTTATTTGTGCATAAGTGAATCTTACAAACTCTGTTCATTGAGTTCCCACTCTGAGCCAATATCCATTACACCACAATGCGCATCTAGATATACAATGGGGAAGCAAAACTCGCACTAATATTGAAACTGAAATCTACAACCAACCTCAACACTACATGATGTGAAACCAAATGCAGAATAAAGAGTATATTGTCATCTATTAAATTTAGTATAATTAAACATCAATTGATGTTTTAAACAAGTTTTAGTCAAATGGGACAGTCATCCTATGTTGATTCAATTTATCTAAACTGCAAATAACCTACAAGCCTGGCTGATGCAAAATATCTCCAAATTCAATGCTGTGTCAAACTTTCTCACACACAAATTATCTTTAGTGTATACAAAGTAAAGTGATGGAAAGAGATACATAGCTACTTTGCACGATTATCATATTACTTCTCAGAAGGACAAATGACAGTATGTCAGATAAGCTTGGTGCATAAACTGACCCCAAAAGCAACATTAGTGTGATCTTCTATGCTGTCTACAATGTAACAGAGGACCAGAGATATGGACAACGGTATTCTGAGGAAGCCTGGCTGTGGTGTCCTGAAGAAGAGGAATTGGGTCTTCATTAACATGTTTAAAAAAAAAAAATATCCAGGGGTAAGATAGCTGCTGAGCTAAATGGACTCCAAATCACCCCCTCCCCCCAATCCAGTGCATGTGGTGTTTAAATTCTATACCAGGGCATGCAAACGACTTAAGGCCAGGAGGTTGGAAAGGTACAAAAATGCTAACATGCATCAAAAAAAAAAGTCCATTGTTAACATATTCTCTGATGAGGAAATTTACAGAGTCTGCACTGTTTTGAATCTTTGATGTGACCGATACCTTCTTTTATGTACCATGTGCCTTCAGGGCATAGGTGGTCATAGCACACCACTTCCCCCTATCCCTTGTAGCTCTTGAGAATTTTTGTTACTTCTCCTAGACCCTGTTCTGTCATCCACTTGCTTAAACCCGCTAGGGATGTCACGTTGCTTTCCCTTGTCTCTCTTTCCCACTATTTGACCTGTGAGTATCAGATTCTCTAAGCCCTCCTTTCTCATTACATATCCCAGAAATTTCAACTGCCTCTTCCCTATGTTAAGTATAAGATTGCTCTTTGTTTGTCAAAACCTCATTGTTGCTCACATGCTCAGTCCATGATATCCTTAACATCCTTCTGTAGAACCATACCTCCGCTGTCTTGGGTTTTTTCAGCTTTGAGGAGACTGTCCAACATTCTCTGCCGTAAAGGAGGATAGATATCACATAGCAGTTAAGTACTCTTTTCTTTGTTACCAACGAAATCCTCCTGTCTCATAATACTCTGTCTAGCTTTTAGAATGGCCATTCCAATATGTCTTCGGATCTCAGTGTGTCATTACCATCCTCTGTCATAACACTTCCCAGATATTTAAATTTCCACACCTGCTTGATTTTAGTGGCCCTAACCTGTAAATTGCATTTCGGGCTCATCTTTTAACTGAGGACCATGCATTCCATCTCCTTGTAGTTTATGCTTAGTCCCTTCTCACTCTACCTTCTGTAGGTTTTGTAATTTCTTTTCCATGTCTACTATCGGCACTGTGCCATCGACTACACAAAGGCATTTGACAAAGGTTGCCACAAAGATCTGTTGGAACTTCTCAGCAATCTTGATATATTTGGGAAAGATATTAGAATAATCAAGAACATGTACTGGCAGCAAATGGCCTGCATGCAAATAGAGAATGAATTCAGCAGATATACAAAAATAGAAAGGTGCATAAGGAAAGGATGTGTCTTCTCACTGGACTTCTGAGAGAATTGGAAATCCTACCAGGCTAATACCTTACAGAAACAATATTTGATATTAAGGACACTCAGGATTGAACATCTAGCCCAGATGATGGTCTTGGGTATCATAGATTGAGACAAGGGAAAATGGTAACCCAGAATCTGGTAGAATAAAGGTATCATTATGCTATGACTTGAGAGTTCGACTATGTATGAACAGAGAATGGTGCTCTTAGCTACAGAAATTTTTGCAAAGCCACCAGTTTATTTCTGGTCCTTCCCCAGCCCAGATCTGAACATGCAAGACTGGACTGTACTACGTGTTTTGGAAGAAACCTCTGTGGAATTGCCAAACTTGTCTCTCAAAGGATTTTTAACAATTGCTACAAGGCATTACCAAATGCATTATGTAAAAAAAGAGTAGTTTTCTTTTTAGTCACAGGATGCTTTAAAGATATAACGCATCTCATTCTCCCCTTGAACATGACAAAAATAGCATGACATACAATACACAAAGCTTACTTGTATACACACATATCTAATAATTCTTTAAAAAAACCAAAAAAAAAACCAGATAACTACTTGAATATAAGTGTCTAGCAATCTTTCATGAGAACTTACAATAAGAACATTACTATATACATACCTTCATTCACCACTTGTATTCTATTTAGTTTTTTGAGGTAATATATTAATATGTACAAATTGCTTATGTATCGTAATTATTTTGTTTTTGGAAACTCCAATAACCTATCGACAATGATCCTTCAACACCACCAACAAGAACTCCACCCCAACACCAAAGCCATCAAGGAATTGCAGACAATGATGTTCAAGGTGTTTATGGTGAAGAGTTATAGTTTTTGAGATCTTGAGAATAATGAAAGTCATTAAATTATTCATTCTGATATTATCGATAGGTTTTATTAATATCCATTTGTATTAATTGACCTGTTTCTGTATCATAAACAAGTTTTGAAGGTCATAGCAATTTGCTTCCCCCACCCAGTAAAGGTAAATATACAACACAACACTTACCCCAAGCTTTCCGCTGAAAAGCCAATGATCACCCCCAATGTTGCATTTCAATTCTCAATCTCATCAGTGTACACTAAATGCATGCTCAGAAGGTAACATGAAAGACATACAGCACATTGAGAAATAATGCATGTGTTTCCCATATATGTAGATGTTTTATTCAGGGCTTTGCCTGCTCATCTGGGTGGGAAGGTAGGTGATACTTGAAACAACTTCTGACATATCAGCTCTTCTACCAACTCCTTGCTCATCTACTCATCCTGATGTGGTAGCTGGCAATGCAAAATGGAGGCTTTGGATAAGCATGGTGGACACTTCCATCTCCCACCAAGGGTGGACCAGAACTCTCCCCAATAAGCAAGTCTGACTGTTACTATAGACCTGCATCCGAATATACCCTATTTCCAGTTTTGTTGATCTCTGAAAATCCTTCATCCATACTGCTGCATTCTACTTTGGTCAAAATGTATGGCACTTAGTTTCTTTTGTAGTTCGGTCTTCTATCTGCTGGTTTATCAAGCAAAAAGACTTGATATTGAGATAAAACCACCTCTTCCCTTTCTCCATGGGTATATCATAGCATCACATAAGTAAGTTTCCCCCTGATATCCAAATGTAGAGTGTGTCTATGAAAACTTCAGCTGAAACAAAGAAGCAATTATCATTAACTTGTATATGATAAAAAAAACAGCATTTCCAGATTCATAAAATAACACTTGTCTGCTTGTCTTGATATTGAAGTAAGTCATTGAATGAACAAAAAGGAAAAGCTCATATGCAAACAGTTCAAAACTTTGACAGCTTGATGGTTAATGTCCATTCCAATAAACAAAGTGTTGGGGACCAAAATTAATGTGTTTGTATGGAAGGGGAGACAAAGGTAAAGGGAAAAGAATTTTATTTTTATGCTTCACCTTGCTGACTTTCAGAAATTATTTAAAAAAAATATTGTTATGCTTCACTACTTTATTAAATAAAATGAAGTACGATTAAGTCAAACAGTTTTTCCAGAAAGTAGTAGTAGTAGTAGTAAAAAATAACAAAGTAGTTCACAAATAATCTCCACAGATTAGAATTATAATGGCAACTATCAAATTCAACAAGAAAATATTCTAAGCCAATGCACTTTGCTTGAGAAATTTCAGTTGATAGCAATTCAAAGTCTGTCATTTGTCATAGAATTTCTCAGAAATCATCATCAATCATATCCATATTTTTTTTCACACACAAAAAAAATCCATTTTTAATTACAGGTAATATCAGCTTTCAAACAGGACAGACTAACTTTATGGGAATTCACTATTGCTTGATTACTTTGTAAGATTTTTAATTTTAATTATAATTCTTTAGAAAATCCATTTTTTAAAATTTTAATTTTGTTTAGTGGGATATCAACTCCTTATGGGTCATTTAATGCCAAAATTTAATTTTCTTGGGAGTATTAGTAATTTCTTTTACAAAAATATATTTATTGCTAGTAATTTTTTTACTATGAAAATGCATTGTTGGTATTTTTACTATAAAAATGTATTTTTATACCCTCATAGTGTCTTGACTCTAGTTTGGGAGTTAACTATTTGCCCATAGTTGGGACCTTAACAGGTGCTACCTACGACAGTCTGGATGGACCTGGGAACATCAGCAATTAAAACATGGTTCCACACTCCTCAAAACTTCTTGATCTGAGGCCTTGCTGCTGGATGTAGTTTATAATTTTAATTTTTTTTTTTAAATTCAT